TCTTTGCTCCACTGACTTGAGAGGCCACCCTCATCCTAAACCGAATGTCCATATGCGTTTGGGCCTTTTTCTGGCCTTTCCATTACGTTCCTCTGGTCAGTCTGTCTCTTCAAGCACTGGTAGGACACTCTCTTCATTACTTAGAATTTTTTTTCTTTTTTTTTCTGAGGAACATTCACCCTAACCTAGCATCTGTGCCAATGCTCCTCTATTTTGTGTGTGGGTCACTGCCACAGCATGGCCACTGACAAGTGGTGTAGGTCCGTGCCTGGGATCCGAACCCAGGCCACTGAAGCAGAGTGCACTGAACTCAACCACTAGGCCATGGGGTCTGTCCTCAGTACTTAGACTTTAGAGTGTATGTTTTAATATCTGGTGGAATGTCCTGCCTGTGACTTTTGTTTTTTCAGGTTTTTCTTTACTATGCATGCATGAAATTTAGAATTAACTATCCACCTCCAGAGAAAAAAATTGTTGGTATTTTTATCGGAATTGCCTTAAATTTACATACTAACTTGGATAAAATTGGCATCTTTAGGATGTTGATCATCCTATCCAATTGCACGGAAAATCTACTTTTGTGTCTTTCAGTATTCCTTTAAGGTTTTGCATATATCTTATTAAGTTTATTCTTTGGTAGCTTATCTTTTTTGTTGCTATGGAGTCTTTTCTTCCATATGAGGTCACATCTTCCAATTGGTCATGCATAGTTGTTTTCTTAACAGCTCCTCAGATGATTCTAAGGTATAGCCAAATTTGAAAACCACAACTTTAAATAAAAATTCAGTGTTATCCTTCAACTTAAAGGTTATGGCGTAAATCTTAATCAACTGCCACCCCAAATTGGCCATCCATCTTCCAGATTCCCCAATTCACCCCGTTGGTAACGTCCTGGTGATCTCTGATCTCTCCCTTCCACACCCCATGTGCAGCTTGTGCACTAGTTTCCTTGCTTCCTTCTCTATGGCATTGTCCAGACTCCTGTGTCATTTTCATTCCTTTCCCCAAATCCCCTGGCAAGGTCCTCGGCCATGCCTGTCTCTTTACAACCTCCTTACCCTTGGAATGACAGTCTTCTCCTGTCCTGCTCAAAGCATTCTTCCCTGCTTCCATCATGTTGCTTCATGCGCCCAACCACCAGGGCCCATCAATCATCTGGATCAAATGCAGCCTCGTGACAGCTGCCCCACCTTAGTTATGGGATTCATCTCCTCTTTGCTGGCCGACTGTCTCAAGCCCTCCCTCCCTCATCTCTAGTCCTCCCCTTAGGTTTTGCAGGGTCTGGAGAATCATCTCCTTACCTGGTCACCTTTTAGCACCGACTCTCCCTTTCACTTACAGATTACAGTGTGACATTTTCAAGAAGTTTGCTCTGATTAAGTTCACAAACTTCTGGCTCATGTCATAATTCCGGAACCATCCATTCCCTGAATTCCTCTCGTATAGACAGTGAGGAGGTTCGTAGCACAGCTTTGATGTCAACCTGGGTGTTCATTTACTCTGCTTTGTACTTACCTGTACGTTTGAAACTTTACCTAATATAAAGTTGGGAAATGTGGGTGTTTGCTGACTTGAATTAAAGGAATTAAAGTTATGGGCTCTGTCTGCTGGAATTTCTACCTGGAGCTCTGGGCTTTGGTTCAGGACCCCAACCCATTGTGCCAGTGCCAGGGAATGGTCTTGGCTTGGAATAACTGAGCTCCCTGCTTCCAGTGACATCCAACCCTGCTCATGGCCGGACACAGAGAAGGCACTTGATCCTGGAGGCCTCTGCTCCCCGTGGCTGACTTCATGCTCCAGCAGGGAGGCTCCTGAGGTGCTGCCGTGTGGCCGGGAGCCCCGGGGCACATGCGGAGCAGACATTGAACAGATGCAGAGGAAAACAGCTCGGGAGAAGACAGCGAGCCTCCAGGCAGGGGAGCGCAGCAGCTCTCCATTCATCGTCTCTGGAGCCGGCGAGCATCCTTGAGACACTATACTCAGTTTTTTCCAGTTCATCCAGGAATAAGTGCAGCTCTCTGCCCTGGCTGTGGGATTAGCTCTTGCTCAGTGATGGCTGAAAGAACAAGGACTCCTCCTGTTCTCAAAAAGCCAGCTAATAATACACTGATAAGTCATCTGTCCCGGTTGATCAGAAGAAGAAGTCCACCCCAGGAGAGCATCCTGTTTGCCCTGGATGCTACCTATTTAAGCAACAAGAGGTTCTCTTCTTTAAGATTCCTCTCTTTTTGGATGGAAATCTTTTTTTTTTAAAAGCATATGTCCTGGGACCAGCCTGGTGGTGCAGCAGTTAAGTTCTCACGTTCTGCTTCTCGGTGGCCTGGGGTTCCCCGGTTCGGATCCCAGGTGCAGACATGGTACCACTTGGCAAAAAGCCATGTGGTGGTAGGCATCCCACATATGAAGTAGAGGAAGATGGGCATGGATGTTAGCTCAGGGCCAGTCTTCCTCAGCAGAAAGAGGAGGATTGGCAGCAGTTAGCTCAGGCCTAATCTTCCTCAAAAAAAACAAAAAGTCACTGCAAGCACTCATCCCCCTCCCACAGTGTGCCCTGCATGTGTCACTGCCCAAGATGGAGCCAGGGCCCCTTAAACTCTGTCCCTTGGCCCCACAGGGCTTGTTAACACCTCTGCTCCCACACTTGACACTTACCTGTCCCATGGCTGTCCTGACCAGGCCTCCCAATCGCACAAAGACTTGGACTCATGTGTCACTGGGCAGGCGGGACAGAGGCCCCAGGGGACCACTCCTCTCAGGACGAGGGTGGAGACTTTAGCAGTGTCGTTGCTCCCTCCTGGGGTGAGGAGGGTCTCCAAGGAGGGCCTCAGTCCAAACTAGAGGAGAAGGGGTAGCGACAGGCCGCAACCCCATACAGGCTGGGGGCAGGCAGGCAGGTGGGTTGGCAGTCCCTCCTGGCTTTCTAACCTGGTGGCCACTAAACCTGACCTAGCCTTCACAGAACAGATACTTAATAAATGTGTGGCTTTGATCTAAACTCGCCTAAATCTAGAAAACGACTGACTCATCATTTATAACATAAACAGTCGAGGATAAGGGCAGCATCTTCCATTTCTTTTGTTTCATCTTGAAGCGCTCTGTCTAGGGGCCAGCACACAGTGGGTGTTTATTAACGTGCCGTCGTCACAGGGCTGCTGTCCTGCTTCCCCTTGAGTAGCCTCACATCTGGGCTTGGTCTGGGAGGTTGGAAGGGGGCGGGTCTTACTCTCGGCGGAAACGGTTGACTCCCACTTCTATTTAGAATTAACAAGCATAGGATGCCCACCTGGCCACCCTCCTGAAGATTTGGTCTGGAAAAAAACAAAGAAGAAAGTAGGATGGGAATGGGGGAAAGCTTCCACGTATGCCCTTCTTATTCTCGTGAGGCTTTGTTTTTCCAATCCTGATTTAGAAGCAACCACATTTGTTCGACACCCCTCGCCCTCCCTTTCTCTGTAGGCCGCCACCAATCCCCCTAACCCCCCACCCAGGCCAGCAGCTGGTCTTTCCTAATTGGTAATATATCTTAATAACAACAGGGCCTGAAGCAGCTGTTGCTGTGAAGAGTGGCTGGCCGCATGGCTTCCGTCATTAATTTACTTTGTTGGTCCTACTGGTGCTTAAGAAAGGATTAAGTTAATGACACTGATGAAACAGAAAGTTACACAGTGAAAGGAGAAAAAGAAGAGGAGGAGGAGAATTATTATTATCGTTGTTGTTGTTCCTGGCACAAGTTTGACAGTCACACAACCCTATGACACCTCTGTGTTGTGACAAAAGCCTTGCTCAAAATTCCAAGAGGATTTGAACTTTTTCGTCCTTGGTCTCCTTCATTTCCCCATATGATGAGATTTCTAAGCAAATCGCTGAAGGCGCTCTGTCCCCGAGGCCGGGACTCAGACTGCCTTCGAGCGCGGTTGCTGCTGCAGAAGGGAGTTGCGCAGGCCCTCCACACGAGACTGTCCATCGCGTGGAGGGAGCAAGCCAGCCCCCCGTTCAGAGAAAGGCATCTCAAACTCCCAGCTTTCTACAGCTGCGAAATGGCTCTGGATTCTGCCCATTTCTATATATACCCTACCCCTGGCAACGGCAGAAAAACGTGAGGAAGGAGCTGGTCCTCAGCTTGTGGTGTCGGTCATTCTCTTTCCAAATATAGAGAAGGAATGAACCGCGGGGGTGAGCAGGGCCTATAAAAGCCCGGGGCAGCGGCCCCTCTTCAGCTCCTCTCTGGTGGGCGGAGGTAAGTCACAGCGCCCCTCTCGCTGGCTCCTCTCTCCATCTCTGCAGCTCAGAGCACGCCTCCCAGGTGCGGCCAGGTGCTGTGTGCCGGCCCTGCCTGGCTCTGGTCAGGATTAGTAAGATGTGAGGCAGATCTCCCTAGGCCCAAATGCCCACCCTCCCTCTGCCTCCAGCTCCCCACCGAAGCAGGGGCCCTTCAGGCCCTCCTTCCTCCTCCCCGCTGTCCCCTTGACCTCGTCTTCAAGCACCCTCTTGGACAGGATCTTCTGGACACACTGTGGACCTCGGCCTGTCCACCAGGGCCTGACGGTCTCCCCTTGCCTCACTGATCCGTGCAGAGGGCCAAGGGGACTCGGTGCCATCCTCTGCCCTCACCGTCCCTTCCTGGGCTGTATGCCCTTCAGGTATCCTGTCGTCTCAAGGCCACGATTGCTGTGGCTAGTAGGTGTCAATTAGCCAATCTCAGAGACTTCTCCCTGTTCACAGAAGACAAGGAGACCTGAGCTGGCCTGGAACCACAGCTTTTAGAACAGGGACTCTGTCCTTTTTGCCCCATTCTGAATGGGAGGCATTGCAGACTGAAGAAGGTACCAGAGGAAGCTGGTAGGAGCCAGACTGGGGGGCCCTAGGGGGCTTTTGCACCTTAATGGCTGACCCGTGGGCCAAGCCCCACCTGCCCCTCCAGCTTGCCTCTAGGGTAGCGCTCTTTTTGAGTTATTAGTCCCTTATCCTTATGTAGTTAATTCTTCAAGAGCTGATTCAGAACAGAACCAGCCACACCCAGAGATCCTGAGTTTTCTTTTTGTGTATTTATTGCAGGTCTGATTTTCCACTGCTGCTGTTGTCTTCTGCTGTCCCCCTGTGGGTGTGACTCTCAGGTGAGAATTCTGGCCACGTCCCTTGGCTGCTGGAAGTCTCCAGGTCCGAGGTTACCAGACCCTCCTAGCTCCCCGTGGCCTGAAGGGCAGAGAGTCCATCAGAGCTCAGACAGGACGGGTCAGGCTGGAGAGGAACGGAGAGGAGGTAGCATTCTAGGATGCTACGGGTGCATCCTAAACTGGTGCTGAGGTCAGATGCTGCCTCTGCTCTTAACAAGGGAAGGAAGCGACAGCTGGTTTCCTTGTGTGAAGAGGTAGCCACCTTGATTCAAAACAGTTAAAAAAATTCCGTAGCTATTTGCCACTTAGCACACTTTCTTTAAAGGACGGCGTTTATATTTTATGGTGTTTATTTTTAAATCTTCTCTCAGCAACACCTGGGTTTTATAGAAGAGGAAGGTGAGGTCTTGAGAGTTGTACTCACCTCTAGGTCCCTCCCCCACTCAGAACCTCTGATGCTCACGGAGCTTGGATCACATATGCTCTGTGCCCTTTGCACAGAATAGCCACTCCATAAATATGTGCCCATTTGATTCTCCCAGCACTGAAGTCCTGTGGGTGAGGCCCCTAGGATGGAGGGCTGCTGTAGGGGCAGGGCGGATGCAGGACAGGCCCCGAGGCTGGCTCAGGAGGCAGCTGGGCTCACCGAGGGTTTGCCTTCCAGCTGACACCATGAGTAGCGACTCGGAAATGGAAGTGTTCGGCATAGCCGCTCCCTTCCTCCGGAAGTCAGAAAAGGAGAGGATCGAGGCTCAGAATCAGCCCTTTGATGCCAAAACCTACTGCTTTGTGGTCGACTCAAAGGAAGACTATGCCAAGGCAAAAATTAAGAGTACCCAGGATGGGAAGGTCACAGTGGAAACCGAAGACAACCGGGTAAGCCTCATCCACGCCCTCTGCAGGCCCACTGGCCCTCTGTCTGCCCTTCATGGCTGCCAGTCTGTGCGTCTGCCCCACCTCCTGCCACTTCCCCATGTGGCTCTGGCACCATAATGCCTCCCACAGCGTCACTGTCTTAGCTCTCCCAGGTGTCCTTGGAGAATGCAGAGGGAATACTGACCTCAGGCTGCAGGGTGGGAAAAGCACCTGGTTGTGGCTGCTCAAAGCAATTAGTGTTCAAGTGCTTTTGTCAGTGTTCACATCACTCGAGGTCAGAGGGGACCGGCTCCATGCACCCCGAGGGTGTGGGGTTGGGAGTCCAGCACTAGGAAAATGTCTTTTAGAATACTCTCCTTTGAGAGCCTAGGTTTTCTCCTAATTCAAGCAGTAGCCATCTAACTGAGGAAGCAAGGAAGGTGGGTAAGGGTCCCAGGTGGACCATAAACTCGATGTGAAATGGCAGCCTCCTCACATCATAAAGGCGATGGACAGACAGTGTGGCCCATTGTGGGAGTGCTAGGAGGGATTCTGGACTTCACCACTTTCTGCAACCTAGACCGGAAGAATCTAAAATGTTCCAAGAAAAGTTAAAAAATAAATAAATAAATAAGAGAGAGGAAAAAGAAAATCCGAAAGAGAAGAGTGAAAGAAAGAGCGTCATTGGGCTGGGCTGAAGGAAAAAGGCCTTGAAAGCCGCCCTTCAGTGCCCCCAAGCGTGGATGTTCCCAGAGGGCGGCCCTCTGTGTGCTTCAGATGACAGAGCCGAGAATGAGCTTACGTGGCAGCAGGGAAGACGGAAGCTAGACGTAAGGAATAAAGATCTAGGAGGATGAAGGACATCCCCAGGAGGGCTGCTTGCACGGGTGGTTTAGGTGAAGCTTTGCGCGAAGGCAGGAAGGGCAGGCTTCCCACCCATCTTGCTGAACCAGGAAATGATCTTCAAAGGAGGTCTCAGAGAGCAAGGGGGTGAGGGCAGGGCAGGGGAGAGGAAGCCAGCTCAGCCCTCTGTGCCTGGGACCTTGCAGCGGGAGACGCCTGAGTTGCTGGGCTGGGAGCGCCTCCTCGAGGGAAAGGCAAGCACACCTATCAGCGCTGGAACCTGTGGGCCCTGCCTTGTAGCTCCCTTCGCTGGCTTGTAACACTCTGAGCCCAGAGAGGCCGGTGTGGGGAAGCTGGCTTCTCTTCCATAAGCACAGGCAGGGAGGGTGGTGAGGGGAGCATGATGCTGGCTGGGAGGCTGGACAGCTGCTTTTGGAGAGCTCAGAGCATGGACTAATTCTGTGGGCGCCAGCCTGCTGATCCTATGCCACCTTCCTCTTTCTCTCCTGTCCCTGCCTCAGGGACGCCAGTGGACGTGCTGTGTCCCCTGAGGAGAGAGAACAAGCCTATCAGCAGCAGGAGCCGGGTTTGGGTCCAGCCAGCGTTGCTGAGCTGAAGGTTCCTGCTGGCTCCCATCCCTACGTCATCCCCGCGTCTGTCCACAGAGACCCTCTTTTCTCATTTGTATTATCCTCCCTTCACCTCAGGCCCATTGGATGGGAAAAAAAACAAAAAGCCCTGAGTAACAGACACAAATCGCGTTCTATCACCATCACCACAAGCCGCCCCACAACCTTGTCTTCCCTTGCTGTCAAAAGGGCATTTTCTCTAGTGCTTGCTCCTCGGATCTGGGCTCACAAGTCTCTTCATGGGTGATAGATATCTGCAGCGGGCAAAATGCACAGAGAGTACTAGGTAAGCACTGTACCTCTTCCTTCTCAGACCCTGGTGGTTAAACCAGAGGATGTGTATGCGATGAACCCCCCCAAGTTCGACCGGATCGAGGACATGGCCATGCTGACGCACCTGAACGAGCCAGCCGTGCTCTACAACCTTAAGGACCGCTACACCTCCTGGATGATCTATGTCAGTGCTGAGGAGTTTCCCGGGATGTTTGATGGGCTGGGGGTGGAGATGCTTGGGTCAGTGACGGGATTTTACAAGATTAGTGCTCGACTAAGCTGTTGAACAAAAGAGGAGAAATGGGAAAAAAAGAAGAGGAAAAGAGGAAAAGAGGAAGAGAAAGATAGAAGATGAGGAAGGGAGAGATGGACGGGTGGGAAAGAGAGGCTGGAAGGAGGAGGGAGGGAGGGGGAAGAACAGGCAGGAATGGGGGAGAGCAGGAAAGATGGGGCCAACGTTTGGGCCTTGGCATTGTCCCTTATTAGCTGTGGGAGGTCTGGCTACGCCCCTCCTGGAGTCTCAGTTGCCTCATCTATAAAGAGAAATCATCTTTCCTTCTTTACAAGTTTATCATAAAGAAAAGTGAAATAATAACAAAGGGAAAAGGTTTTATGTATATATACACACATACAGAGATACATACATACTTTTTTACTCCCACAGACCTACTCGGGCCTCTTCTGTGTCACCGTCAACCCCTACAAGTGGCTGCCGGTGTATAACCCTGAGGTGGTGGACGGCTACCGAGGCAAAAAGCGCCAGGAGGCCCCGCCCCACATCTTCTCCATCTCTGACAACGCCTATCAGTTCATGCTGACTGGTAGGTTTCCCTCGAGTAGTGGAGCGAGCACCAGACAGGGCTCAGGAGAGCTCCCATGTGGTCCTAGGCCTGCCCCCTCTGGTGTGTGACCTCCAGCACAGAGGAGCAGAGGGTAGAGGTGCTTCAAGAGGCAGAAAGAGGCCAGATCATGTTGGGCCTTGCAGACCCTGGTGAGGGGTTTGCATTAATGCAAGTATTGGTTAAACCATATGAAACTGACATTTTTGTGGGCCAAAATCAAAAGCTGGCTCTTTCATATGATTCCACCTATTATGATGAGAAGCCACTGACTGGTGAGAAGGCCTGGCTGATTCTAAGCAGGGACTTAACCTCCCTGAGTCTCCTTCTCAAGAAGGAGGCTCTTAAAGCTCCCACCTAGGACTAAACAAAGTACTAAAGGGAAGAGGAATTGTGCAAATGAACTCTGACTGTTTGAGAAATGGAGAATTGAAGAGCTCTTTTTTCATATTGCCGTCAACTCTATTTTCTTTCTTTCTTTGGCAGATCGTGAAAACCAGTCCATTCTGATCACGTGAGTATCCAAAGCATAGAGTAGTTTCATAGCCTTGGCTCTTTGTCCCCAGTGCAGAAGGCAAAGGTGCCACTTGCTCTATTCTGTTAATTAGAAAATAGGTAGAACAAAGTCTGTGATGAAAAAAGAGATTTGAGGATGGGCAAGAAGGTATGTGTAAGGTCTCAGAAAACCGGCATCGCCCATTCTTGGGTCAACCCAGCTGTGATGATCCCGTACGCCTCTGCGTCTCTCACATTTGTTTGAAGGCTGTGTGTCTCATGTGGCTCAGAGGATGTCCTGGCCTCTCTGTGACATCTTGGAGAGTCTATGTCTATGAACAGGACTTGTTTCTTTCTCCTACTCTCTTTTGATCTCTCTCAATAGCGGAGAATCCGGGGCAGGAAAGACTGTGAACACCAAAAGGGTCATCCAGTACTTTGCAACAATTGCAGCTACTGGAGACCTCGCCAAGAAGAAGGACTCCAAAATGAAGGTATGGAGGGGAGAAAGGCTTGCTCTGCTTCCACTTCTGACCTTTGTCTTCACTTCAGAGAGGGAAGGCAAAGGGAGGCAAACTCCTGCCTCTTTAAGGGAAGGAGAGCGGGCAGAATTTAAAATCCTGAAGGACAGCCAGTTGTGTGGTTGATCTCACAGCGCCAGATGCTGTGCTCTTCCTGGAAAATGAGGCTCGAAGGCTTAACCAAGAAAGGCGTTGATTTGGGAGCAGCTCAGAGAGCTTTTTCTCTTATGGCAGAATCATATACCAACTTGAGAGAACTGTAGCATAGATCTGCCTTTTGAAACAAAATATGTTAATACAGTTTGAAGTGCATACAGACAACCTAACTGATTGGAGAATGAAGGAATTGAAGCATTAAACGAATTTTAAGTCAAGACACCCAATGATGACCAAATACAACAAAATGGCAAAGTGTTTTGAGTGAGACATGCTAATGATTTGGCTGATCCTCAAATTGGAAAATGAGTGGGGGAGAGACCAGTTTCCCCAGAGACGGGCAGGCAGGAGTGAGGCAGCGAGGGAGAGCTGTCCTTGTGTGGCTTCTTCCTCCCCTCATTTCTTGCCTCAGGGGACTCTGGAAGACCAGATCATCAGTGCCAACCCGTTGCTGGAGGCCTTCGGGAATGCCAAGACCGTGAGGAATGACAACTCCTCCCGCTTTGTGAGTCTGAAGTTGAGTTACGCTGAGATTTTCTCCAGGGAATACGAGATAGGCAAGGTTCCTGTCCTCCCCAAGGTCACAGTCCAGGGGGACAGACACTGAAAGAACAAAACACATCAACAAGACAATTTCAGATAGTGACACCTTCATGTAAAGTTCGATGAAGAGGGCATGTGACAGAGTAGCTGGGGCTCCTCTAGACAGGGTTGGCAGGGAAGGCCTCTCAGGGGGCTGGCCTAGGAACCCTGAGATCTGCAGGATGAGCAGGGACATAGGGAAAAGCAAGTGCACACTCTCTGAGGCAGGGAAGGGCCCGGTGTAGTTGACGGACCTCAGAATGGTCCACGTGGCTGCAGCGAGGTGGGCAAGGAGGTGGGCCTCATGAGGTGAGGGAAGAGGTCAAAGGAGACCTGGTCACGTAGGAACATGTAAGCCGTGAAAAGGGGTGTGGATTTTATTTAGGAAACTACTGTGGGATTTTATAAACAGAGAAGTGATAGCTTTGATGTGCATCTTGAAAAAAATCACTCTATTACTTTGTTGACTGGATGGGGCGGGGCGGTTGGGAGGGAATGTGGAAAAAAGGGGATGGAAAAAAGGGATGCATATCCAACTGGAAAGAGAAGAAGGAAAAGAAGGAGGACATACTGAATTTCAATTTATAGGGGAATAAAGCTCTTATTCGCACTACCCAGGAGACAAGTAGGAACACTTAGAGTCCTGGTACACGCTGGTCTCCCTTTCCCCCACAGGGCAAGTTCATCCGCATCCATTTTGGTACCACTGGGAAACTGGCCTCTGCAGATATTGAAACTTGTAAGTGGATTACTGGGGTCAGATGATGTCTCAGGGGAGTGGGGAGCCATTTGGAAAACAGTCCTGTGTTTGTGTCCATAGATCTGCTGGAAAAATCCAGAGTGACCTTTCAGCTGAAGGCTGAGAGAAGCTACCACATCTTCTACCAGATTCTTTCAAACAAGAAGCCTGAGCTCATAGGTGAGGAAGTCCCCAGTGCGGTTGGCCTTTAGGCATTTTGGGTCTTGGATCTCTGGACCAAGGAGATCTACCCTACACATAGGTGACTCAATAGGCAATGGAGGAATTTATTTTAGAAATGGGATGTGGCTATTTTGACAGTGATGTGCCAATTTGAAAAAACCTAATCCAGTGGACAAGAACAAGATTAGACCACAATGAATTCAGCACGGGTTTATAGAAACCTGCTGAACAACTAAGCATTTAATTGTCCTTGTGCGCCCCCTCGTGTTCTGGCACAGAAACCAAATGCTGTGAGGCTAGTGCACTATCAGATGACAATCCAGCCTGCCGATCCTCACCCCCACTTTGTCCCACACCTGACAGAGGCCTCTGTGCACGCTGTCTTCTTTGCTCTTTGGCTGTGTTTGCTCAGCCTTCTGGGCCCAAGCCTGGAAATAGGCTGCAGCTTTTCAACAAGTTTTGGAAAAGGCTATGATTATACCAAATGACCTGTGCTTCCCTCAACGTGGGCTCACGTCCTGACCCACACTCAGCCAGTTTTCCCTATTAATTTCTCTAACCTACATTGACATGCACCATTCACGTACAAAGCAAGGGAATTTAAATATTCTTTCCCAGGTTCTTAATCTACATCGCATGGCCACAGGCTTCCCTGGAGTTTACATTCAGCCACAGCCTGAGGATCACGAGGCTGTTGAAAAGAGATTTCTAACTCTAAATTGGGTTTGGGCTTCAGCAGTACAAGTGGACTGCGTGGATATTCTCTTGGCATCTATGTGACCTCCTCTAACTATTCATGATTTCAGAGCTGCTGCTTATTACAACCAACCCTTATGACTACCCATTCATCAGCCAGGGGGAAATCCTGGTGGCCAGTATCGACGACGCCGAGGAGCTGTTGGCTACAGATGTAAGTAGAGCTGAGAGAAAGGGGTGGGGTACTCCATTTCCATCACTGGGGTCAGCTGACTGACTTGCTGTTGTTCTTTCAATGCCAGAGTGCCATCGACATCCTGGGCTTCACCCCAGAGGAGAAATCTGGACTCTACAAGCTCACGGGCGCTGTGATGCACTACGGGAACATGAAGTTCAAGCAGAAGCAGCGAGAGGAGCAGGCGGAACCAGATGGCACGGAAGGTACCAAATCACTACAACAGGCCGTAAACCAGAGTTGGGTGGCCTTCCACAGATTATTTGGTGCCTCGTTTGACAGTGACTCATCCTTCTTCCACCTGGAGTGGTGGACCTCTCTGAGGCTCAGATGCCCCTAGGCACCGTTCCCACCCCCGTTTGCTGAATCACTAGCACGCTCCTGCATCGGATGCAATGAAAGTGACCAGTGCTTTCTGGAACCCAATCCTGCCTTCCCATAGACTCCACCATATTCGGAGTGACTTAGCTTCCATTGGCCAAGTGGAAGCAGTTTAGAGATACGGCGCGTAAAACACACCGAGGTGGACTCAGCCAAACTTTGAAACATCCGGATGATTTCCAAGTGGTTTTCCTACTTTGTCAGGCATCAGGGGTTTCCCTTTGTAATCATCTTTCTTTTCTTGCCTAGTGGCTGACAAGACAGCCTATCTGATGGGCCTGAACTCTTCGGACCTCCTGAAAGCTTTGTGCTTCCCCAGAGTGAAAGTCGGGAATGAGTATGTTACCAAAGGTCAAACTGTGGATCAGGTAAGTGACTGCTTCGAGGCCGGGAAGGGACGCCGGTCCCCGGCGGCCACTGCCCTCAGACTCGTTGGCTGATCTTTCCTCTAACAGGTCCACCATGCTGTGAATGCCCTTTCCAAATCAGTTTATGAAAAGTTGTTCCTGTGGATGGTCACGCGCATTAACCAGCAACTGGATACGAAGTTACCGAGACAACACTTCATTGGTGTTTTGGACATTGCGGGCTTTGAGATCTTTGAGGTTCGCGTCACTTATATTCATGCGTTCATGTGCCTTTGCGTGGGAGGATGGGTTTTCATGATCCTAGAGGGAATATATCAAGGTGGCCAACCTGTCATACCATCACATCTTGTGGGAAAATTAGACAGAGGGTGGTCAGGTAGAAGAGAAGGTGAGGAGGGTTAGTATTATTTTAAGAGAGGGGAAGACTTGTGTCAAGCGGAATTTTAAAGGACATTGTCCAATGGATTCAGAAAAATCAAATGCAAATACTGACTTAGGAAGAGCCGGGCATATAGAAAATTTGATGATAAGCCAATCAATATTTTACATAAAAATCCTGCTGGTTCTGGATAAGAAGCATACAGTCATTCATCAAAGTGTGTTTTTGGTATCAACCAGATACAAGACATGCAGGTGAATACAATATGAGCTCGGAGTCCATAGAGGAAAGTGAGAAGTAGACCAGGCACACTGAAGAGTAACTGCAAAATAAGGCAGACTGTGGTCGGTGCGCAGGAGAGGCCCGGCCCGCGGGAACTCAGGAGAGGGCGAAATACCTTCTAGTTGGCAGTTGAGAGAAGGCTCCAAGCAGGAGACGTGATGTGAGCTAGTCCTTGAGGAATGTGAGCACAGCTGAACGCATAAATGAGTTGGCGAGAGCCTGAGCAATGAGGAGGAAGGGTGATGGGTCTTTGATTTTGAAAGAAGTCCAACTTTTCATGTAAACATTATATTTTGGTGTTAGTATAACAGCCTGGAGCAGCTGTGCATCAACTTCACCAACGAGAAACTGCAACAGTTTTTCAACCACCACATGTTCGTGCTGGAGCAGGAGGAGTACAAGAAGGAGGGCATCGAGTGGACGTTCATCGACTTTGGCATGGACCTGGCTGCCTGCATTGAGCTCATCGAGAAGGTATCCTAGACTATCCGCTCAGCAACCTCTTCTTACATACTCTGCTGCTCATCACTGCAGCACACATTTACCCCACATGTGTTTCATCTTGCCTTAATCCAGCCGATGGGCATCTTCTCCATCCTGGAAGAGGAGTGCATGTTCCCCAAGGCCACAGACACCTCCTTCAAGAACAAGCTGTATGACCAGCACCTGGGCAAGTCCAGCAATTTCCAGAAGCCCAAGGTGGTCAAGGGCAGGGCCGAGGCCCACTTCTCGCTGATCCACTATGCGGGCACCGTGGACTACAGCGTCTCAGGCTGGCTGGAGAAGAACAAGGACCCCCTGAATGAGACGGTGGTCGGGCTGTACCAGAAGTCCTCCAACAGGCTCCTGGCACATCTTTACGCCACCTTTGCGACAGCGGACGGTAACAGACCACACAGAGTGCCTTGTGCTTTCTCCCTCTATTCAATCCACAGGACTGAAAAATCTCTGTAGATCTGCTCACAGCACTCACTATCTTTTATTTCTTTCAGCTGACAGTGGAAAGAAGAAAGTTGCCAAGAAGAAGGGTTCTTCCTTCCAAACTGTCTCTGCCCTTTTCAGGGTAAGAAAAATGTGTTTGTTTCTAATTGATTTGCTTGTCATCTCAAAATGAGCAATGTAGAGATTCTAAACTTGGTTTATTCAAAAACAGTAATATGACCTTTATCTAATTACTGTCACTCAGTGAGGTTGAGTGGCAGTGTGATAATATGTAAGTGAGGTCTAACAAATGTGGGGCCAGAATTTAATTATCATTTTGTGGTAGAACTAGTTGGCTTGGCTGGCCTGGGAGGTGAGTCCTCAGCACAAACTTTCCGACTTGCCACAAAGACACAGGCAGTCGCATCTCAGCCTCCCACTGGAGCCAGCTACATCTCTTGAGTTGATTTCAAAGACCGTTTTGTACTTGATTAGTCTCTGGCTCACTGTGAAGCAAAACACTATCACATCAGCTATTTTCCTACACCTCTTACCATAAGCCTATTAAAACAGTGAAATAATTTCATTATTCTTTACAATTCATAAGTTTAAAATATATACCTTATTTTTCAAGACAATACATCTCTGTCTTTGTAAAAGGCTACAGTAGGCTGTCAAATTCAATTTTTTTCCTTTAGGAAAATCTGAACAAGCTGATGTCAAATTTAAGAACTACTCACCCTCACTTTGTGCGCTGTATAATTCCCAACGAAACAAAAACCCCAGGTAAGACATCAGCTGGTAAGACGGTGGTCAGTTTTTAAGAAAGTCTGTGTGAAGCTGATGTTTCTTGCTTCTCTTCTAAGGGGCTATGGAACATAGCCTTGTCCTGCACCAGCTGCGGTGTAACGGTGTCCTGGAAGGCATCCGCATCTGCAGGAAGGGATTCCCAAATAGGATTCTCTACGGGGATTTTAAACAAAGGTGTGTAACAAAAATGTTCTATATGCTTCTTGATAAGATGTGGAAATGTGGAAATGATGAGAGGGAGAAATACTAGTATGAAAAGACTTGTTCTAACAGAACAGTTATGGACTTCCATGGAAAATGATTAACCTACCGCTCAGCCAAGGTAGACATAATTCTTTCTTCCACAGTTTCTCAGAAGCTTATATGATCTACAGCATGGCGGGAAAAGACCTGGCCTAAGAGTTGGGAGGCCTAGATTCCAGGCCACTCTTTAGCAGGGTGACTTGACTATGGGCAAGTTTCTTTCCCTCTCTGGACCTATTAGAAGAGAGGCCTCAATTAGTTGGTCTCCAAGGTTTACATCTTTGCTAATAGTCTATAATTGTTTCTGTGTCTACAATGGCAGATATCGAGTGCTGAATGCTAGCGCAATCCCCGAGGGACAATTCATTGACAGCAAGAAAGCTTGCGAAAAGCTGTTGGCATCCATCGATATTGACCACACTCAGTACAAATTTGGACATACCAAGGTAAAGCATCAGTTCTGACAACTGCTGGCGTGTGGTCGCTTTTAGACTTCTCCAGCACACTGACTCACATCATCCTTCTTCCCTCTAAGGTGTTCTTCAAGGCTGGCTTGCTGGGAACCCTAGAAGAAATGCGGGATGACCGCCTGGCCAAACTGATCACCCGGACACAAGCTGTGTGCAGAGGGTTTCTCATGCGCGTGGAATTCCAGAAGATGGTGCAGAGAAGGTTGAGTGGGGTCTTTGTTCAAACATGAGCTCTTTGGGGGGAAGTGGGGAGTCTTTCTTAGAAATAACCCATGTTTTGTTCTAAGGGAGTCCATCTTCTGCATCCAATATAACATTCGCTCATTCATGAACGTCAAGCACTGGCCCTGGATGAAACTCTTCTTCAAGATCAAGCCCCTGCTCAAGAGTGCGGAGACTGAGAAGGAGATGGCCACCATGAAGGAGGAGTTTCAGAAAACCAAAGACGAACTCGCCAAGTCAGAGGCAAAAAGGAAGGAACTGGAGGAAAAATTGGTGACTCTAGTTCAAGAGAAGAATGACCTGCAACTCCAAGTACAAGCTGTATGTGTTTAGGAATTGTTTTTTTACTTTCCTTCTTAATTATTTAGGAAAAGTAGGTTTTTGCTTTTTAATTGGGGTATTTCATAAAGGACTTCATATATAACAAAATACCGGAAAGTCAGAATCCTTATCTCATTAAAGGGAATCATGATTCTTTGTTTAAAGGAAAGTGAAAACTTGTTGGATGCGGAGGAAAGATGCGATCAGTTGATAAAAGCCAAATTCCAGCTGGAGGCCAAAATCAAGGAGGTGACTGAGAGAGCTGAGGATGAGGAAGAGATCAACGCTGAGCTGACGGCCAAGAAGAGGAAACTGGAGGACGAATGTTCAGAGCTCAAGAAGGACATTGATGACCTTGAGCTGACACTGGCCAAGGTTGAAAAGGAGAAACATGCCACAGAGAACAAGGTACTTTCTTTGTGTGTCTTTATACCTTGATGGAGTCGTTGCAAACCCAACTTTACTTCTTCTTACAATTGCTTGTGACTTCTCCTCAGGTTAAAAACCTTACTGAGGAACTCGCCGGATTGGATGAAACAATTGCAAAGTTAACCAGGGAAAAGAAGGCCCTCCAAGAGGCCCACCAGCAGACCCTAGATGACCTCCAAGCTGAAGAAGACAAAGTCAATTCTTTGAGCAAAATCAAGAGCAAACTGGAACAGCAAGTTGATGATGTAAGTAAATACTGCTATTTACTTTATTTTGCTTTATTGGGAGTCCTAGAACTTCAGGGTTGGAAGAGCCCTCAAGAGTCTTCTGATGCAAAAAGCATTTGTTCTCAAAAGGAAATGGTGCCTTTTTCAGCTGGAGAGCTCCCTGGAGCAAGAAAAGAAGCTCCGTGTAGAGCTGGAAAGGAACAAAAGGAAGCTTGAGGGAGACCTGAAGCTTGCCCAGGAGTCCATATTAGACCTGGAGAATGACAAGCAACAGCTGGATGAAAGGCTCAAGAAGTACGCCCTGGAACCACTGATTTCCGGCCACGCTGCTGGGTATTTTGTCTTTACATATTCTGCGTTTCCCTTCACAGGAAGGATTTTGAACACAGTCAACTGCAAAGCAAAGTGGAAGATGAGCAGACTCTGGGCCTCCAGTTTCAGAAGAAAATCAAAGAGCTACAGGTAGGAGGCATTTCAGATTTTTCTTTCACTTGTGGGTCACTCACAGTGGGCTGGGTGCTGCCTGCTGTAAGTCATTTAGAGCAAGTGGGCAGGACCGTGGTCTGCCTGCCTCAGTGGTTTCCTTTTTTGCCAGGCTGACAGCACTGATGAACAATTTTTCCGTAATTTTAAATAACGTACACAATTAAAGTATTTTGAGTCAACATTTAGTTGATTAAATAATATCCTGGGTTGGTCACTGCTGGAGAAATGACCATGTTGGAACAGGAAAAATTCATATTAAAGGAAATTAGCAACATTCACATTTGTCTGGGAGAAGTCCAAGAATTGGTTTGTCTACTGGGAATGGAAACTAGTCTATTCTTGACATTCAGAGTCACTTGGGGACTGATCGCCCATGGGTGAACGGCTGCTTTCTACAGGCTCGCATTGAAGAGCTGGAAGAAGAGATTGAGGCAGAGAGGGCGACCCGCGCCAAGACAGAGAAGCAGCGCAGTGACTATGCCCGCGAGCTGGAGGAGCTGAGCGAGAGGCTGGAGGAGGCGGGAGGCGTCACCTCCACGCAGATAGAACTGAACAAGAAGCGGGAGGCCGAGTTCCTGAAACTGCGCAGGGACCTGGAGGAGGCCACGCTGCAGCATGAAGCCACGGTGGCCGCTCTGCGGAAGAAGCACGCGGACAGCACAGCTGAGCTCGGGGAGCAGATAGACAACCTGCAGAGGGTCAAGCAGAAGCTGGAGAAAGAGAAGAGCGAGTTCAAGCTGGAGATCGACGACCTCTCCAGCAACGTGGAGAGTGTGTCGAAATCTAAGGTACTTGGGCAGGACGGGGCCCGATGCTTTTGATAAGAGACCTCTGGGGTCACCCAACTCTGAATACTGACTTCACGTTCTCCCCCTTCTCAATCCTTTAGGCAAATCTGGAAAAAATATGCCGCACTCTGGAGGATCAGTTAAGTGAGGCCAGGGGCAAGAACGAGGAAATTCAGAGGAGCATGAGTGAGCTGACCACACAGAAGTCTCGTCTGCAGACCGAGGCTGGTGAGCGATGCGCAGTGGCAAGGGGCACCACCTCAGGGACACCTCAAAGGGGGCACCTGGCCAAAACTCAAGGGCGGTAATTGTGTGGGGGAGAATTTCTAGAAAAGCATATTTTCAGAAGAGAAGCAAGTGAAATAACCCAAAAAGGCCATTCAGAATATCCTAAAGGAGGAGAACTTTGAGAGTTCAGTCAAAACAAGAGAGAGACAAGTAGACCAGAATAAGAAAGGACTCAAAATATCAGCTGGTTCAAACTCCTTAGAAATTATTATAACCTTGCATCAAAATGCATCGAGATGGCAGCAACAGGACTAGAAAATAAGTCCCATGGCCTTCCTGCTTCTTACTACAGATTAATTCAGATTATCTGCAAGCAAGTGTTTTAGACAATAAATAAAGAAACATGGTCAATTTTTATAGGTTCTTGGGGTATAATAAAAACATGGGGGACCATGATTTGGAGCTTTCATCTAGAATGTGGGTCCACCTCTACTGGTCCTCCGGGCCATCATCAGGAGTGAGTCAATCGTCTGCTAGCAGCCACAACCAAGACAACGAAGAAAAGAAGTTCAGTTGCCACTTGGACAAAAATCTTGGGAATTCATCTCTGGAGGCATAAGGCCTCTCCCCTCCACCTTTTGCTCCTCTTAACTCTATGTACACATTTAAACCAGAACTTACCATATTCACCCTAGAGTCAAACTTCAATTACTAGATACAAAGTCCTAAGGAAGGCGCTATTTCTCTTAAGGACAAATCAACAAACAGCTGGAAACACCAGCCACTGGAAGGTCTGATGGGAGTTTTCAGGCAGTAAATGTTTAAAATTACAATTGTTCTCAATGGGTTTTATTGACAAAAGTCACTCCAAGCTTCTAGTAGTTTAAAACAATCTCTTATCAGGCTGTGCTTTCAGGTTCTTTTTCACGGACACATCCCTTTTCCCCCAAGAAAAGACCACATCTTCCAATTTGCTCTCCCTCAGATCTTAGCACAATGCCTTATGCACAGTAGGAACTTGGTAAATGAATGAATGAATGAATAAAATGAAAATATTTCCTTCTGGACACAGGCGAGCTGAGTCGTCAACTGGAAGAAAAGGAAAGCATCGTATCCCAACTTTCCAGGAGCAAGCAAGCATTTACCCAACAAATAGAAGAGCTCAAAAGGCAGTTGGAGGAAGAGAGTAAGGTACGTCATGTCATCAGGGAGCCCTTCCTTGACCTAATTTTCAAATACCACCTGCAGAAAAAAAGGCAACTATATTTGGTAGGAGATGATGGCAGGAACGTACTAGGATTGTATCATGCACGTGGGACTAAAATATTAGTCCACTGGGGGCACTCCTTTTTCTTCACTTGTGCAGGCCAAGAGTGCCCTGGCCCACGCCCTGCAGTCTTCCCGCCATGACTGTGACCTCCTGCGGGAACAGTACGAGGAGGAGCAGGAAGGCAAGGCCGAGCTGCAGAGGGCGCTGTCCAAGGCCAACAGCGAGGTTGCCCAGTGGAGGACCAAGTACGAGACGGACGCCATCCAGCGCACGGAGGAGCTGGAGGAGGCCAAGTATGCAACTCTATTGACCTTTAGCAGAACTCTTAAATGATCATATGATAGAGGGACTGACTTTAGAATCACTCAGGAATGAATTTGTTTTGTTTCTAGATGTTTCCCCACCTCATCTGTCTTTCAGTGCAGTGCTGTGCCATGAGAGGGACCTGGCATTAGCACATCTCATTAAGACAAACAACTTTGATCTTGGTTAGAGACAAGGCAGGTTATTGATCACTGAGTTTTAGCAGCCAAATTGATCGCTGAGTTTTAGTAGTTTCTCCTGAGCTTAGCAAAGCAAACAGGGATTTGAATCACGTAGATTAGTGATTCCAACTTGATGAACAGTGATGTTCAGGAGGATTGAAACTTAAATAGCATCTGCTTCTCTTTCACATTCTTTAAGGAAAAAACTTGCTCAGCGCCTTCAAGATTCTGAGGAACAGGTTGAGGCAGTGAATGCTAAATGTGCCTCCTTGGAGAAGACCAAGCAGAGGCTGCAAGGGGAGGTCGAGGATCTGATGGTTGATGTTGAAAGAGCCAACTCCCTGGCTGCTGCTCTGGACAAGAAACAGAGGAACTTTGACAAGGTGTGGGGTCAGCTCCGTGCAGGCTGAACACCCCAATGTGGGGAACCCCTAGTTGTCACGGAAGGAAGAGATTGGTCCCAGTCTTGACTCTGCCCCACTAGCAGTGTGACCTTGGGCAAGTCCCTGAGCTTCGCTGGGCTACAGTTTCCTCATCCGTACAACAAAATGGGAATGGGGTGGGGATGGAGTCCCTTTCAAATATTGTCAGTGGAGACAAACCAATTTCTACAATGTTGTTGAGCCCCAAACATTTTTATTCCTCCATACTGCTGGTCTGTCTGGGGGGCTGACATGTGCGACACTAACTCGGGTTCTATTGAGTGGCTTTTCTGGGAGCGCCCCTTTCAGTATGACAGAGAAGGTTGGTTTGAACCAAAGTTTTAATGAAACATTTAGAAGTGCAGGGCCATTTCATATTAGGAAAAGGGCAATTATGCCTAGCTAATTTCTTCTCAAAGGATCCATTTCCTTCCTGGAGATGGCAGTTGTTATTGATCGATTATTGATCTTGAGTAAATTTATGGACCGAAATCTTGGTTAGTCCAATAATCAGGAACAAAGAGCCAGACGAGAAACACTGCCTGGTAGAGCCCCAATTCTAAGAGTATTTATTAATACTTATTAACATTATATTTAGTTATAAGCTTGGAGAAGAAGAGCTAATAAAGGGAGATACCTTCATCCTGGTGTTCCAGGTGCTCGCCGAATGGAAGACAAAGTGTGAGGAGAGCCAGGCAGAGCTGGAGTCGTCTCTGAAGGAATCCCGCTCCTTGAGCACCGAGCTCTTCAAACTGAAAAATGCCTACGAAGAGGCCTTAGATCAACTTGAAACCGTGAAACGAGAAAATAAGAATTTAGAGCGTAAGCAGTTTGAAAGTCTGAAATCTCCCTTCACACTACTGCCAGAGTGTGTGCTGGGGCGGGCGAGACTGCAGGACTCAAATCTCTACGCGCGGGTCCTTTAATGCACCCACAGATGGTGTTCATCATCTGAGGGGTTATTTTGAGTCTCTCTCCTAAGATATCTTATCTCTAGGAAACAGCTTCCTTAGAATTATAATAAACTAGTTAAAAAGCCTGTAGCTTACCATGCCCGGAAACCTGTGCAGAGGTGCTCAAATGCAATCAAAGCTTATTTCTTTGCAGAGGAGATAGCCGATCTCACAGAACAAATTGCTGAAAATGGTAAAACCATCCATGAACTGGAGAAATCAAGAAAGCAGATCGAGCTGGAAAAGGCTGACATCCAGCTGGCTCTTGAGGAAGCAGAGGTGAGCAGCATGCTGGGGAGGCAGCAGCAGGAGAAGATGCAGTGATGTGGGCCCCCTGGCTTGGGAGGCGAGCTGGCTCCACTCTGCAAAGTCACAGTCCTAGTGCCTGCTCCTTTCCTGTCAAATAGCACGAAATAATACCTGTGAATGATCTCAAATTTATTGGAGAAAATCACTGCCTTAAAATAAGTCTAAAAATAAGATTTTACAAAATCTTAGATGAATTTAAAATATCTATAAGGTGCTCTTAAGAAATATGATGATTTAAATGTTATTATTGCTTGATAGTATGACTCCAAACAAATAGCAATGAAACAGATTCTATTTCTGCACTGAAGAAAAATTGAGGATTTTTTTAAATGATGGTTTGAATATTGTAGAGTCAGAGTTACCAATATTCCGTGGAAGCTTTTTTACCCCAAAGGGTAGTGTAGCAGGCTCCATCTCCTCACCGGTACTATTTCTGTTTTGTTTTTGTTCTTTAAAGGCTGCCCTTGAGCATGAAGAGGCCAAGATCCTCAGAATCCAGCTTGAACTGACACAAGTGAAATCAGAAATCGATAGAAAGATGGTGGAGAAAGATGAAGAGATCGAGCAGCTGAAGAGGAACTACCAGAGGACAGTGGAAACGATGCAGAGCGCCCTGGACGCAGAAGTGCGGAGCAGGAACGAGGCCATCAGGATCAAGAAGAAGATGGAGGGGGATCTGAATGAAATCGAGATCCAGCTGAGCCACGCCAACCGCCAGGCTGCAGAGACCCTCAAGCACCTCCGGAGTGTCCAGGGACAGCTGAAGGTTTGAGAGGGCTCCCCGGTGGGGAACCTCTCCCGTCCTCCAACCCTCAAAGGTGTAGCTAGGCTCTTGGTCCTAGCGCCTCAACTTCAACTAGACTTTCCCTTTATTCTCTGGCTAGGACACCCAGCTGCACCTGGATGACGCTCTCCGGGGCCAGGAGGACCTGAAGGAGCAGCTGGCCATCGTGGAGCGCAGAGCCAACCTGCTGCAGGCCGAGGTGGAGGAGCTGCGGGCCTCTCTGGAGCAGACCGAGAGAGCCCGGAAACTGGCCGAGCAGGAGCTCCTGGATTCCAACGAGAGGGTGCAGCTGCTGCACACCCAGGTGAGGGAAGTGGAGGCCGAGGGGAGAGATGCCAGTCCAGACAGGCCTGGGTAACACCGCTCCTCTTGCCCCAGAACACCAGCCTCATCCACACCAAGAAGAAGCTAGAGACAGACGTCACGCAGCTCCAGAGCGAGGTAGAAGATGCCAGCAGGGATGCAAGGAATGCTGAAGAGAAAGCAAAGAAGGCCATCACGGACGTAAGGCCCTTCCTTCCTGCTCCCGTGTGGCCGCCGAGATTGTAGTTCACTAAACCCTGAGATAGGTCCCACTGGACTCCGGGCCTCCCCTGGGGCACTGGTGGTGCGCATTCTGCTCCAAAACCGCTCCCCACCTCCCTCGAACTCAGCCTGTTCCCTCCTGCACATTTAAAAGGTGGCTATGAGAAATAATGGAGCATAGAAAAAAAGACTGGATGGGATTATATTCTGATTCTTGGGCCCACAGAGAGGTGTGCTCTTCTTTCCCTCAACATCTGACTTATTCTAAATATGAAAATGCGACCCTCAGATGTCAATATTCCCCCAGATTTCACCTCACATGAAGCCATTTCCCTCCCACGGGCATCTAACCTTCCTGGTCGCAGAGGCCTTCTCCCACCCATGGCTCCCACAGCGCCATCTGCTGCCCCATTGGCAACATTACCTTGCAACTATATGCTGTCCGTTGTGTTTTGCACACCCCAATTCTCCAGAGGCCTTCCCTTAATCTCACTCTCCCCAACACTGGGACGTAGGTGTCGACTCAGTCTTATCTAAGTCTAAGGCTCCTTTGAAAATACATATTGGTAATAATGGTGACAATGAAAGAAAGAATTTCCTTGGGGTGTGAAGGTCCCAAGGAGGCCAGTTTAGGAAAGGGAAGAAACCATTTCCCACCCAGTCCTGGGAGGGTTCCTTTCTTTTATGTCCCTGCTCTTCTCATACTCCCCTGTGAGAGGGTGGGCTCAGTCATCACCTTACCCATGGTCCTCTTTCTCCAGCACGGCTCTGCTCCTCTGGGTGCCAGATTTGGGCAGCTCCAAGGCACTGGACCTTTGCTGCATCGTAGTGGGTATGATCTGCTTTTCAGGCGGCCATGATGGCTGAGGAGCTGAAGAAGGAGCAGGACACCAGCGCCCACCTGGAGCGGATGAAGAAGAACCTGGAGCAGACGGTGAAGGACCTGCAGCAGCGTCTGGATGAGGCCGAGCAGCTGGCCCTGAAGGGTGGGAAGAAGCAGATCCAGAAACTGGAGACCCGGGTATATGTGGGATGAACCCCAGCACCAGCAGAGCTTGCCAGCTTCTCCCGTTCATGCTACAGCCCCAGACTAATTTCCCAACCATTTCCCCCAGATCCGAGAGCTGGAGTTTGAGCTGGAAGGGGAGCAGAAGAAGAACACTGAGTCTGTCAAGGGCCTGAGGAAATATGAGCGGCGGGTCAAGGAGTTAACTTACCAGGTGAGCGGGAAGAAAGCCCGATGGGCACGTCCTCTGTACAGTGCTGCGGCCACCCTGGGGCACTCTCCAGCGCTCAGGAAGAACCCTCTTGGACCAGAAAACTGGCCGGACCTCATGCAACTCTCCCCCTCCTCTGGTCCCATTCTCACCTTCTCCCTTGCAGAGTGAAGAGGACAGGAAGAACGTGCTGAGACTACAGGACCTGGTGGACAAACTGCAAGTGAAGGTCAAGTCCTACAAGAGGCAGGCCGAGGAGGCTGTAAGTCAGACACGTGTGTGGTTTTAGAACAGCAGCCGACCTGCTCTTCCCAGTGAGCTCTAGGAGAGGGGCACGCAGGCCTTACCTGCCTGGGCTCTTTGGTTTTAGGATGAACAAGCCAACGCTCATCTCACCAAATTCCGAAAAGCTCAACATGAGCTGGAGGAGGCAGAAGAACGTGCCGATATTGCAGAATCTCAAGTCAATAAGCTTCGCGCTAAGACCCGAGACTTCACCTCCAGCAGGGTAGGTGGTTCCCACTGGTGCGAGATGGAGAGCAGCAGGTGTGTGGCGAGTTGTGGCTCCTACGGCGACCTGGGAAGAACCCACAGGGAGGCAGAAAGTGTTGAGCTGGAAGGAACGTTAGCCAACCCTTTACTTTAGAACTGGTCAGTTTCAGGCTCAGAAAGAGAGCTTAAGGTCATTTGCTGAGAAGAGCCCTGCTAGAACCCCGGTCTGTAAGGCGCCATCAAACAAACACCATCTTGAATAGGAAGGAGGGTTTCCCACTGCGGTCTTTCAAGTGCCCTCTGCTGGCGCTAGTCTTCAGTTACTCGACCTGGAGGGGGAAACCTGGAGGGGGACGCCTGTAGGAAGCTCCAGCTATGGGGCTGGTTCTCTCAGGGCCAGTTTCTCAAGCTATGGGGTGACTTCCTCCATGTGTGCAACCCTGTGTTCTCCTGAGGTCCAAAGCATATCTGTGTCCTACTGGATATTTCCCCGAGGCTCGCTGGGAGAGGGAGCAGGAGGAAATGTGTCTGTGCCGTCTGCCGTAACTGAAAATGCCCACTCTCTCTCCAGATGGTGGTCCATGAGAGCGAAGAGTGAGCGATGCTCTTGAGCAGGACAGAAGATATGCACAATGTATATTTTCATGGTTCCTGACCATTATACTTAATTTCCATGTGACCGCTTTTCACATGCAATAAACTTGGTTTTCAACTTGGGGGCTGTTTCACTGTATTTGTTCTCTCTTCCCCATGCAGAAATGGTTTGTAGTTTGGTGATTTTTTTTTTTAGATTTTATTTTTTATTTTTCCTTCTTTTCCCCAAAGACCCCCAGTACATAGTCGTGTATTTTAGTTGTGGGTCCTCCAGTTGTGACATGTGGGATGCCACCTCAGCATGGCTTGATGAGCACTGCCATGCCCGTGTCCAGGATCTGAACTAGCGAAACCCCAGGGCCGCTGGAGCAGAGCGTGCAAACTTAACCACTCCACCACGGGGCCGGCCCCAGTTGTTTGGTGATTTTTAATGCCTGAGGTTGAAATCCCGGTAAGCAGATGGCTTGATGAGTATCATTGGTGTGTGTATGTGGGGACAGTAAGTGATTGCTTTTGGTTTAAATCTGAGGTTAGATCAGAAAGAAAAAATACTCCTAGGTTAACCACTGCTTTGGCAGGGGATTGGGGAGGGGAGTTGGTCAGAAGAGTCGTCCCTCATTATGATATGAGGAAAACACAATGTTTTGGCTGGGGAAACCCATCTCAAGTTGCACAGGGTCATAGGCGAGGGCCAGACCCCCTCCTCCACACTGGATTAGGGAACTACTCTGGAATCCAGTAAACGTGTGCTGGGCAGCACTCCACCCAAGCTCTCTGCTAACTATTAGCAATACACAAATGAATAAACAGCATCTCGTCCCTCCAAGAGTTCAGTCTAAATCTACCACTGAGTAAATTTGGCTCAGTCTGCAGTATTTCAAAGACACACAACAGAAAATCTCACCCCTTACCCAGGGTAACGCTGTCTTTACATTAAGAGAGAAAATACGCAGGAAGTCAGAATATCTGGCCGACCTGCCACTGGAAGCAGCATCTTCCAACCTGGAATCATTGGTTTGTTGTCACAATTAAACTTATCAGAAGTCGTTGTCAAGTTCCCTTCTTCATGTGGTTCTAGAAGATTAGGAGGTGACCCAGGTTGACAGTGGGAATTAAAGACCCAGGGGAGCTCCCTTCAGCACCAACATGGAGTTTAGCATCTCCTGGGATGTGTCATCACGTAGAGAAGAGACCACAATCCATGTCAGATTTGGCCTATCAGTGATTTCAGATAATCGTGTCTCAAAGACCACATCTCTTTGACTTGCTTTCAGTACTTCATGTCAACACTGTGGCTAAAATGTGCATGTCCTTCGGGGGTGGCTGTCACTGAGAGGAAGTCATGCAGTGAGAACAAGTCTGACTGAGGCCCAGGTCTGAGCCTGGAGCAAGGCCCCGGTCCTCCAGAGCCTCTCAGAATTTACGGAAGTTATAGATTGCCTTCCATGGAGAGTGCGCAAAAGAGAAAACCAAGCGGAGTTTCTGATATATTCTAACTGATAAATAAAGAAGGACTGAAAGAACTGAATATCACCATTTTGATATGAATTGTGAACCCCAAGTGAATCACAACTACTAGTTTCACATAAATATAGATAACCAGACATTACGTGCCTCCTGATAGAAGGACACACCACTGCCTAGCAAGAATTCCCGCCCACAATCTAACTTGGGTCTGATAAGCCTCTGAACGTGACCACCAACTTACAGGAAATGCAAGGGACAGAGACCCAAGATACAACCAACAAACTCCAGGAGGCAGGGAATGCAACAGAAAAAAATCTAGTTTTTTCAATAAATTGTAAGGAAAAAGATATAACCAAAATGGAAGGGGGAACCATAGATTAAAGGAGACTTGACAGACCTAACCATCAATTGCACCGAATAGACCTTGTTGGGACACACACACACACACACATGCATGCACACACACGCACATACCCCAGCTGGTGAAATCTGAATATTGACTGGATATCTGATGGTGGTTTTTCCGGAGTTATTGTTCATTTTCAAGATATAATGCGATATTGTGATTATATTTTCTAAAATAGTCCTTTTCTTTTAAAAATACATACTAAAATACAGATAAGAAAGGAAGAGAGAAAGAGACAAGGAAGGAAGGAAGGAAAGTAGGAAAGAAGGAAGGGAAGGCCATCTTTAAAAGTAAACTTGTTTTATAAAATTTCAGACAAAGAATTGATCAAAGAGGGCCCTGATGCATTTTATGCAGAACTGGGCCACAAGCTTGAAAACCTCTGAGGCTGTAGGACCTGATGTGTCCACTTATCAGCAAAGTGCGATATTCCACACAAAGGAGAGGGCGAGGAGTTGGGTTCTGGAAGCTGTCCATCACCATCTATTAGGCTCTGATTTTGTGTAGGGTATAAATGGAGAAATTAATTTTCTGTGAGTTAATATTATGACCAACTTTGCCAGTGTTAATTTGTTCCATAAAGTAAAGGATGCCCAGGGCTATAGACAATATAAGCCCTGTTATTATGAAGAGAAAAATGAAGGCACGAGTCTCATTCCAAATAAGGACCTGCTGAGCCTCACAGAGGAAGAGGGGAAGCCTGGTCTGGCAGTGGAGAGGAACAGGATGACATCAGGAGCTGTGTACCCAGCTCTTACTTCAGGCTCTCAGCACGCACACCTCATGTCATCCTACTAACGACTCAGCGATGACGAGATGGGCTTATTGCTGCTGCTTTACAGACGAGGAGAAAGCTGAAACCCAGGGTAACTTGCTCCAGGTCAAACCAGCAGAGCTGGGATTCTCTCTAGCTCCCAGGACTCCTTTATGCTACAAAGCACTGCCTCCTGGGAGCTGGTGAAACAGGCATGAGACATGCCCCAGGAGGCGGTGTGTGTGCTAGAACTGGGCTGATAGACCCCAAAGCCGACTTTGCTTTTTCACCTTGACTGTTGACTATTTCTGTTAACTTCCCCCAGGGGTTCCGCTGTAACCCCTCTCTGGCCCCCCAGCTCAGCCCACCCTGTCATCAGACAGGCCATTTGACCATTCAACAGGAACTGAGTGATCTTTAGCTCATTTGCCATCTCTACTGGTTCTTTTGCACATGAGCCCCCAAACAAGAGGGCAAAAAAGGGGGAAGGTTCCCTCCTCTTCCGGCTAACTTCTTTGGGTGAAGTTAATTAAGGGCCTTCAAATTAAGGGCCATTGCAAATTACTTTTCCTTTTTCTAAATAGCCTCATTTTTCTCTTTTGTAATTTTTTTCTGGTATTTGGGCATAGAATTTATTGATTTTTTTTCCCCTGTAATTCTTATACTCTCCAGAAACCTCTGACTTTCTGGATTCTTTGCTGAGCCTTAGCAGTAGATTTCTATTTTTTACTATCCTTTATAATGTTTTAATCACACAAGCAATACATGCTCAAGCACAGGATTAAAAAAAGTATCTGTCAACTATAAAGGGACCATCAGCGAGGATGGCAGACTCCTTCTTTATTTGGAACAGATGAGATCTTGATTTATGATTGGCAGATGGCCCCTTCTTAAGGACATGTAGGGGACACAGCTTCTAATAAGAGTAACATGTCCTTATGGGGGGCAAACTGGCTGCAGTTTGCAGCCTGCCACTAGCCAGTGAGGGCAGCCCTTCCTTTCTCCACGCCTGGATCACCGCGACAGCTGAGAGCTTTAATAAAGTGAAGAGTGCCTAGGAATGCGGGTGAGGAAGCCACCCAGAACACAGAGGTCTATTTCTACCCCGAGCAATAATCCCACTGCTAAAAACGGCTGAGGCTGAGAGGCTCGAGGCTGCCTGCTGGAGCCGAGCCGCGATCCGGTTACCCTGAGCAATGCCGAGACATTCTGGAGGCTCTTGTGCTCCCGGCTGCGGCAGGCCACCAGGAGTCAGGGGCCCAGGATGGCACGGAGTATTTTTATCTAAGATGTTTCATGCTTTCCAGGCAGTGAGGAGCAAGGAGCCCCAACGCCTGTGCATCTGTGGGCCTGTTCTGTGTTCTCTCAAATGAGACGTGGCCCTCTTCCAGAGCCCTGAGGAGATCTCGGGGAGCAGGTGACAGATACCCTTAGGCCACCTTCATCAGCTTGCTGAGAGAAGGGGGACATTAGATAAAGAAAAAGGACCATTGTCATCGACACAGTGTTACCCAGTGACCTCAGGATGCAAAAATAAATGAGACAGAACCTTGAACTTCAAGGGCAATAAAGGAAAGACAAGCACTCCAATAATAATGATGACAAACAAAACATGCAGGTAATGGGAAACTGAGGAAGTGACAATGTCACATGCTTTTATAGTCAGAGACCAAAATGAGCACAGTGCCCTGTACACAGCAGGTGCTCAATGCACGTGTTGAACTGAATTCCTGGTAGGAGAAGTAAAGTGGTGGGGGAATCCGTGAGCCCCTGGGGAAGATAAGTTCTTTCTTTCCTGACTTTCTGCCTCCACAGATCAGTGATAAAGAGACAGTAATAACCCAGAAGCAGTGCTTTAAAAATTTGTGAGCAATCCTAACCATGAACTTGATTTTCTTGGCTTTTTGAAACAACGGGTGTGGGCACAGCTGTCTGCAATTCCTGGTGGCTCAGTGAAGAGAGAATCCAGTATGAGAGAGGAGGCCCTTGGGGTGAGGTCCTGCCGTGTGAAGCCAGGGGACGGTCAGCTCATGCACCCCAGCACCAGAGCCTCCATCTCCCCAGGCTTTGCTGCTAGAAGTGTCAAGTCCTTGTTTCTTTATACATTTATTGATTTGTCTATCATTTACCAACTGCCTACCACGGGCCCAGGAACAGGGAATGGGTGAAGTGGAACTCCCCAAGAAAGCTAGACCAGAAAAAGGGAGAGAGACTCCTGTCTTGAGGTCCCAAGGCTCAGAGTGGGGAGGGCAGCAGGTGGGTGGAGGGACACACATCTCCAAATACGGCTCAGCCTCAGCTCCGGGCCAGATCAGCATCGAAGCAGCTGCGCCTATTTTGGGCCCGGGGTCTCTGCCCCGTGGCAGCGGGTGTCGAGACCTGAAGAGCAAGGCATAATACCTGGTGCTTATTTTGAGGGCATCTTGGCATCATTCCCAGGGGCAAAAGCCAGTATTTCAAACAATGGTCCATGGCCAGAAACATAAAATTTCCTCC